GAACGCGTGACAACATCTGCTCTGATGGATACTATACCGTACAAAGTATAGTATCACACATACCAATAGCGTTCGAGTAGACAAGGATGAGAGAGAATGAATGCAAATGATATGATATTTTTAGAACATATTTATATTGGTCTAAAGAACTTATAGTAGAGTTTCAGCTGGAGAGAGGTGTGAGATAAATAAGATATACTCACACCCATATCTTCTTTTCCTTAGCATTGCAATTTTAAATATATAAATATCTCTCTATAGAGTTATTCATTTTTATTTATATCGGTAACGAACTAAAGATAAATCTAAAATCTTTTTTGAACTAAAAATAATCAGTGAATTGTTATTCTTTGTTATAAATCATGTAATAAAAAAAGAAAATTTTTCTGAACTGTATAAATTTAAAGAAACTAAATCTGTTTGTTACTTGTTAAATGTAATAATAAACTAATATTAAATAAAGCGTCGATATTCAGTTACTATGACTCATGATTATTCAACAATTTATAGATATTAATGTGACATTCGTGACGTCAATTTTTACTGAATGATTGTGTTATTAAAACACAAATATAAAAGCTAGGTTACTTTTTTCTTTCATTCTTCAGTCGTTTCAATAGTTTTTATAATGCCTTGGAAACAGAAAAATAATAATTCTTTCTTTTACATATATTTTAAAAGGCGTCTGTTCACGTGTATATGAAGTAGGGTTTTATATATTTTTACATAAACAATAAATAAATATCTTCCGATAAAATAATCTATCATTTGAGATAGTACTAATTATTGAACAAGTGAAAGATAAAAAGAGTAGATATTCTTATTTAAATTCTTTTTTTTTGTATAGATATTATCAAAGATTCATCATGAGCCGTAAACATCGGAATCACAAACTTGAAGAACAAATTACTCATCAAAAAAATGCTTCAGAATTAAATTTAGAATGTCAACAACTGATTGATCAAGATATGGAAATTGTAGCAAAACAAGCATTACGAAACAATAAAGTAAAAAAATATCATATTATATATGATTTATGTAACATTTAGATAAAAACGTTGAATCTTGTTATGTCGAATTTACAATACAGAATTCTTTTGAAGGGCGATGATAATATTACAATCACAGAGATATTTTGATGATCATTCTTTCGTTATCTCTTAAGTATCGATCTTTTTGTGTTTTTATAGACTTTCACCACATTAAATTTATCAATGAATCAAATTGGAGAAAAAGGAATGCAATATCTCGTCGATGTTTTACGAACGAATACGGTAAGATTCATTCTCAAATCATTACTCTTTTATGTATGATCATTTGTATACGTAGACATTAACTACATTGGATCTTTCCAATAATCAAATTGGAGATAATGGTGTACAATATCTTGTTGATGCCTTATTAAATAACTCGGTAATTTTTATTCTCTATTTATCTTGTAGATAAATTATTTTTTCGATTTATATAGACACTTACGAAAATGAATCTTGTTGACAATCAAATCAGTTCTACTGGAGCAAAATCTCTTGCTGATCTCATACGAACTAACAAAGTAATTTTCATTTGTCCTTTATTTCTTATTTTCATTTTATTCAAAATTAATAGAAACTCAATAATCTTGAATTTTATAATAATCTAATTGGTGATGCTGGTGCTCAACATTTAGCAATTGCTTTACAAAATAATACAGTAATCATCATTCCTCTTTGATCTCGGTATCAAATTCATCTTCATATAATAGACACTTCCTACAATAGATCTCTCTAACAATCAAATTGGTGATCTTGGTGCACAATATTTCGCTGATGTCTTACGAAATAATAAAGTAACACTTATTTTCTATTTGTCTTTATCTTTATTTATAAATAGACACTCACAACTTTGAATATAATCGACAACCATGTCGGTGATATTGGTGTACAACATCTTGCCGATGCTTTGAAAAATAATACTGTAATTCTTATTTTTATTTCAGTTTTTGTGTTCTGCATATATTTCTCTTCGTATAGACACTTATTACATTAGATCTTTCAGTCAATTCAATTGGAACTGTTGGAGCACAACATTTGGCGGAGACATTACGAGATAATAAAGTAAATTTATTGATTATTTTTCATTTCTATATTTTATTTTATCAATCTAGAGCTTAACCAAACTTATCCTTAAACATAATAATATAGGTGATACTGGAACACAACATCTCACTGATGCTTTACGAACTAACAAAGTAATTATCATTTTATTTTAATAAATCTATTGTTTGTGATATGTATAGACTCTTAAAATATTGGATCTTCAATACAATGGTATTACAGCAGTTGGAGCACAATATTTTATTGATATTTTACAACAGAATACGGTAAATTTTATTATTATTGTGTCTTTTTTCTTATATCTATTGTTTTCTATATACAATAGACACTCAGTACATTAGACCTTCAATATAATAAAATTGCAGACAATGTCATACAGAAGACGAATGATTTACTTAAAAAACATGATGGAGAAAATAAGAAAAATGATTCAAATTCATTAATCATGACATGTACTATGTTACTTTAATTTAGTTTATTTGTTTTCTAAATAAATATATTTCTTTATTTTTTACTGTTTTGTTCTGTCGTACTTGATTTTTAATCATCCATAATACAAAATTCTCTGCGGAATTTATAATAAAACTACTGAATTAAATAATGATAATTTATTTCGAATCAATTAATGATAATAAATGTCACAAAAAAAATCTTAAATTTCTACTACAAAATCTGTAAAAACAAATTGTTTATTTTCTCCTTGTTTAAAAGATTGATTCTTTCTGTTTTTAATCTTTTCTTGCATTAATATTCTATATCGATCATCTTTTTGTTTCATTTGTTTTCGATGTTTGAATGGAACACGATAAAACCAGATAATCATTCCAATATGTAAAATAATGAAAAGACTAAAAAAAACACCACAAGCTCCTCGATCTAAATACATAATCCATGAATTTTTTGCGACAGAATAATTTGTTGTATATTCCCAAGCAATCACACTAATAGTACTATGCCATATTGAATGAAAAAAAAGATTAAATATACATAGTAATCCATATTTATCCAACGATGTTAAATAAGAAATTGTTGGCTAAGTTGAGAAATATTTTCATAATTATTAAATTAGACTAATTTAATCTTACAAGTGATCGATTGACTGTCCAACGAAATGTAATTGATGTTAGAATAAGTGTACATGTTACTTGAAGTCGATTTACTAAATTTCTTAATAAAAAAAATTTTGTTGCTTTTATGATTAACAAAAGAGAATAAAAAATATTTTTAACGGTTGGCTGTTTAGCAAGAGAAAATGCTTCACCATATGTTTATTTCCTCTTTTGAATGAGAAAAAAAAATATCCACAAACATTATAACTTTAGACACTATATTTCTAATACAAATTCAGTACTTTTCGTGGAAAATCCGACTATTCTTATTATCTGGTTGCTTTACTACGAAAAAAGCGGTCATTAAGCGTAGATTTGTAGATAACTTACTGTAGCGGTATTCCAAAAGTACAAAAAGATAAAAGTGTGATTAATAAAATCAAACAATATCCATTCCAAAAGAAATATTCGGATCGACGAGCTGTAAATATAGAAAAAAAGATCGTTTATTTTTATTTTTATTCAATTACAAACCTGCATGACAAGTAACAGCTAAAACTGAACGTTGTCTGTTATCTGTATTACAGATATTTATTAGTTCTGGATTATCATTATTTCGATTATCATCATTATCATCATCATGATCATTTGTTTGAAAAAGAAAATCATAAATAAATCTTTGCTTTGTATCAATATGTTCATATAATGACCATTCTTGTTGATCAACAAATGCTTCTCTATTAATTCCACTGAAATGATTTGGATCAGCAATTAAAATAACTTTATCAATAAAAAACATTGAAGTTATTGAAACTGATAAACCTTGAATATCACTTGGAAAATGTTGTAATTCAAGTTTTTCCCAAAAGAATCCTTTTATATCACGATGTTCACAAATATCAATTGTATGATTTTCTTTATTTAATTTTGCACTATATTTGATTTGTTCTTTTAAGTCACCTAACCCATTTTCAATATAAAGTTGAGGATGCCAATAAGATTGTGAATATTTTTCAAGTGAAACTGATTTTCCATTATTTAAACGTTGTTGATCATCTGATGATAGATTATATGAAAATTTTTCAAATAAAATCGACCAACGAGATTCAATAGATACATGTGCTTGATATTTTTCATTTAATGTATCAATTTCACCTAGATTTATGATAAATAAATATTATTTGATATATTTTATTAATTACCTATTCGAAGAAATACAAGTCGAACATGAACAATAGTTGCTTTATCCATTTGCGACAATGATCGAACTGATTCTTTTGTTGCCGTCATTTAAAACCTTGTCAAGATAAAAATCGTATGTATTATATTAATTTATAAAATTTTATGAAACGCGACAGTCATGCGCTGATTGTTGACATCGGATAAATGTTGAATTATTAGTACATCTGTCAAAAACAAAATAATAAAAGATTATAATATAAAAAGCAAGGTATAATGAATAATCATGCTTCATAGTTCTATATGTTTTAGAAAAAAAAAAGAAAAAATATTAACAGATGTAACAAAGAGTTCTATAATTTCTAAAGCATAATTATATTTTATTGTCAAAAAAACTGCATTTATTTTTTTTTGTAATAAAATTTTTTTAATAATTGAAATAGACTAATACAAGAACAATATCTGCATATATTCATATTTATTATTTGATTGTATAATCTAGACTCTACTAATCATTAATTGAGAAAATGGAAAATCCTGAACAAAGGAAGAAGCAGAAAAACCCACATCTGATGTTAACTTTATTTACAATTGAAGAATCACTTTTATACGATATAAATTTTTTGACCTTGTGTTTTCTTTCAGAAATATTTTCATCATTTATAATATTTTATCAGAACACAGTGCAAATAAAATAATAGAAATAAATCCCTTTTGAATATAGTCAATTTCTGACTCATCATTTACGTAATTATAAAACGTTTTGAGTTACTTCTTTCGAAATTGAAGATTAAAATTTAATTTAGATATTTAGAATGATTGTTTTGATTGTTATTAAAACTTATATATAAAGATTAATATGCAAATAAATACAGATAGCTGGCATGAAATTGGACACACGAAAGGATTTAGAATCAATATGATATATAAAAAAGAAAAGGGTATTCTTTCATTTCATTCGTATACCGCGATAAAAAAAACATCGTCAATTATGATCACCAATATGTATTTCATTTTGGTTTTACTTAGCTGTTGGACTCTTGTTAGTACAACATGTAAGTTCAACATAAAAAAACGATATTCTCTCTTCTATAACATGTTTTTTTTCAGTGTCAACATTAGACTGTTCTTCATTCAGTTCCGACAAGAATATTATTCAATCACTTCCTTTGAGAGTTACCATCAATCCATTGTCATCCGCTTTACCCACAGCGTTTAATTATGCTGTCGTCAATATGCAAGGTCAAGTCATCGAGCTAACTCTAACCAGCATAGAAAGGATTCCATTATCCATCTACTGTTTCAAAAATTTACAATCGCTAACATTGCGATATTCTAGCAATCTAATTCTGCCTTCGGAGATTGCTCGTCTTTCTACTCTTACATCGTTAAATCTTATCTCAATTTCTCAGTCTCTTACTCTTCCTACTGAGCTATTCAATCTGACTAATCTTCGAAATTTATCTATCATTTCTAGTGGCCTTGAAGTATTGCCTGAAACGATCGAAAAATTATTTCTTCTCAACAATTTGACATTGACAGACAATCGACTTAAATCACTACCTAATGGTTTAAGCAAGATGATGTCACTTCAATATCTAACCGTTGATAACAATAATGATCTTTCTTCACTTGATGCTCTTAATGGATATCAAAGATTACGAGGATTGAGTGCTTCCAATTGTGCGATTGATCATCTTCCAACGAATTTATCTACTCTGACGACAATCGATATGAGCCAAAACAAATTAACGTCACTTGACGGTCTCGATACATTGCTTTGGTTTGATTGTACATCATTGGTATTCCGTAACAATAGTATCACAACCATCCCAACAACAATGAGAGTAGTTCGAAACATTAATACTATCGATCTGTCGAATAATTTACTTACTGAATTACCTATATGGTTGTTCAATGCTAATCTGAAAGTGGTTAATGTGCTCAGAAACAGTTTCAATGAAAAAGAAGTGGAATGGATTCGAGGATTATATCGATCTAGCAACACAACTGTCTACGTTTGATATATTGTGTGTTAAGGAAAATATTTTAATGAAATAAAATGACTATTAAAGACTCTTTGCCATGATAAGATTATCATTGTTATTTATTCTATATATAATAGTAAGGGCAAACACTTAAAATAATGAAAAAGTATATTACTAGTAATTTAAAATTACACCTCATGTAGATATGATTTAATTAAAAATCATTTTATTCATATACTACTTCATCAATTATATTAAAACTGAGTACTTCCACACAGCTCCTCATAGAGTTATATCGACTTGATTATTTGCAAATTCTGTACTATTACGACACCAATCTGGTGGGCCAGCTTTTCCTATGTAACGTTGAAAATAATTGATGTGATCTATTATTTGCTCGTTCAAACGGTTGGACCACTTATATTTATGATCCGTTTTGGCATTGAAACATATCTTCACATAAGAAAGAGATGACAAATTTTGCCGTGATTACCAGTAAAAATAGAATTGATTAGAAGAAACGCTGAGAATCATCTTCTTTCTATAAAAATCTATCAAATGATTTCTCTATCGATTGTGAAAAGTAATCTGCGTATTCGCTGGCTAAAGTCTTTTTTTTCAGTGTATTGATTTTAGTTAGTCTTGTTGACAAGGTTTTTTAATTTTATATCTATGCATTATCGAGTAAGTTTCGACACCGTCGTGTGCACAAAATTAACTTCGATTTTCATACTTTCCAATCTTTACAAGATATACTTCTATAAAACTAAAATATATTTCACGACAAAGATTAAATAATAATCTCTAGAAATATCTTCGTATTGTCTATTGTTTACTTTATTCCAGCTCAATTCTTTTGTCATAAACACCCACATCCGAATTTGTCGATTTTATTATATTTTTATGAGTAAAGAACTTTTACAAGGATAGTATCGTTAGATTAGATATCAATGGTTCATATTAATGGACCGAATTGTAAAGCTTCGAGTTTGAGAAGGTGATATTCAGTGTATAGTATATTTTTCTCGTGTTTGTGCAAAGAATCTCTTGAAGAACGTTTTAGCCATGAATGTTTCACTAAATTCTCTCTTATAACTGCTTGATGGTAGTACAAACAGAAGAAATCCAAGTAGTTGAGGTGCATAGGAAAGTAGATATGCAGCAAGAAGAGTATGCCGTTGCCAGTCATGCAATTGTTTACAAGC